AAACAGTAGAGTTGGCTGTTAAATGAATTGTCCATTCGGATATCTTTTCAGTAGTAAATGAATATCAATATGTAATTTATATCCACTGACTGAAGTATTTTCTGGTTTAACTGCCAGCCGGACAGATACGAGTCTTAAAATGCATTTTGAATGTGAGTATATGCATAAAACTATATGTTATGTATATCTTCAAATGTGTCCGGCGGAAGTTAAGTTATTTAGCTTTTTTCCAGTTAGGTTTTAAAACGAAATGCGTAACTTGTATTGTAAAAAATCAACTCAATTGACACACTAAAGATCAAATTAAACATAAGACTGATATACTTTTAATAAAGTCAAAATATTTTATAAATACAATCAACGATATAGTTATGCAGTACGTCTACTCGATGGGCGGGATTTAATTTCCGAACAGTAATTAGGACGTCCAAATGGTTACCGTCCTCTTTGGTTTATACTAGACAAAAGTTATGTCTACATGCCCTGATACAGATGCTGTCAAGATTCTATATGTCTCCATCAAAACCATGATAAAACACGCCATGTCGCACTAATATATGTCAACTTGCCCACATACAAATTATCACGGACCACGGCATCTCGGGGGGTCAATTCAAGCTTCCATAGTATTTCTCCATCAAAACCATGATAAAAACACGCCATGTCGCGCTAATATATGTCAACTTGCCCACATACAAATTATCACGGACCACGGCATCTCGGGGGGTCAATTCAAGCTTCCATACAAAGCCGTTGGTTGTGGTCGTGTTCGTAGTCTTATAAGTCGTGTTGTTGGTATTCGTCGTGGAAGCTTTAACCTTTTTGTAAAAGTCGTCTTCATGATAGTTAGCGTAGAAGTCAAAGTCGTTGTCATAAAGCCGCAGTAGTTTAAGTTGTATTTTGCAACCGTACTCGTAATCTTTAAGCCCCATTTACACAGTCCCGGTTTGGCGTCCCGATTTTTCATGGTTAAGTCCACCGGGATCAACCGTGGTAAACAAAGCGTAGAGCCGTAGCAATTCCGTGAAGTACCGGAACCGGGACAAACCGGGAGATCGCTACGGTTGTATTAAACTGTTTAATCTCGGCCGTATTTATTACATGTTTCTCGTTGAATGTTATGTAAAACACATAGATCTTCATCACCAGTAATAACTAGAGCAATATTGAACATTGTTATCTGTACTCCAAAGAATAATTACCCCCCCCCCCCCAACCAAAAAAAAATGTTAATTTTTTCTGAAGAAGTCAAAACGTCGAAGCTAAAGAAAAGCGGTTTTTTGTTCTTGAACTGACTGTATAAGAATAACAAAGTCTTTTAAGCGGGTCATTCATTCATTCATTTTAAATAGGAGTATGTTTGACTACGCGTTAATAGTGTTCATATTGTATGTACATATAGTTGTTTATCTGCATTGTCAATTTCATAATTATATATTTGTATACATGTTCGGATCTTAATGTACATTGAAGGAAATAAAGTATCTATCGGGATTGTGACGGAAAAGAAAATGAGATAAAAAAAAGAAAAAAGAATTCCTTGACTTTCTCCAAAAAAGTCCTATGACTTGTTGTAAAATGTATATGTAAGCTGTATGTGTACGTTGTCTGAGTATACACATATGAGCCGCGTCAGGACAAAACCAACATAATGGGTTTGCGACCAGCATGGATCCAGACCAGCCTGCGCTTCCGCGCAGTCTGATCAGGATCCATGCTGTTCGCTTACAAACCCTATAACAAGTAGAACAGCATGGATCCTGATCAGACTACGCGGATGCGCAGGCTGGTCTGGATCCATGCTGGTCGCAAACCCATTATGTTGGTTTTGTCGTGACGCGGCACATATATTACGACACATGATAGTTTTTGATAAAATGAATTGTATGAATGTTCAGTATAATTATGTGTTAAGATACATGCTAAAACTGTGATTACCTTTAAATAATGTACCTTTTTCATGTTATATTTTGTTCGATTGGTATTTTTTTTCTTTAGAAAGCCGTGTAACACCGCTAAACGTCCGTACTGCAAAACGTACAAATATGGACGTTTTGCGGCGCATATCGTCCACATTTTTCTGACGTACATTTTGCGGCATAAAGGCATGGTCCTGCCGCATAACGTCCATATTTTAAAGTTTATATAATTTTCGCTAATTTTGACCACTTATTATCAGGTGTTATTGTGTGTTAATTTTAGCTCACATGAGTATGCGCCTGTCTGTCTGTCCGTCCAAATTTAGCTTGTTACCACTCTAGCATCCATATACCCTGATCAATATGTCTAAAGTTATCTGCCCTTGAATTACAATATATGTTATATTTCACATTGTTACCACTCCAACGCTTTCATTTCTTCTTCAATCTTGACAATTTTCAACAGAATATCTATGACCATAAAATCTCAACAAAGTTAGGCTAAATCTAACAAAAACAAAAAACAAAACAAAAACACTATATTTCACCTTGTTAGTGCTTTCGTTTCTTTTCCATTCACAGAATTGTATAACAATAAGGTCTCGATCAAGTTCATTTATGAGCTAAAGCAACTGAATATGTCAAGAGTTATATTGTGATGAAACTGCCATTTCTTTGTTATCAATGATCAGTCAGATGTCAGTCATTGATAAATCATTTATGACAAGACGGACATCTTGAATAGTTTTACCATAATATTGACCTTGAAATGACCTTGACCTCAAGGTCACTTTTGGATTTTGCTTAAATTACCATATCTTTGTCATTTACAGATATTTGGATATTGATGACCATTTTAGACGTAGAATTGAGTACTGATATCAGTTACCCAGATTCTGACCAAGTACATGAAATGTACTTGCTTTTATTTGTAATATTCAATGCTATCTACCCTTGTCATGTGGAGCCTTTATAGGCCGGTGGGCGACATAAGGCCGCCATTACCTTTTGCTTATAAAATTACATTGTTCAATTATAAAATTACATTATGGCATTCAAACAAAACGCTTACATTACGATATTATATAATATGCTTTAGTTTGTATCAATAGAACACATTGAACTTCTTTTTCATCATTTCCTATGCGGAAGAATGTTTGTTAGAATACACTCTATCACACATTATCTATGTAACTTATAGGCGAAATGTTTTGTTCTTCATGCGATAATAAGGGACGGACTTTCCGACTAACCTGTAGATTAAATCATTTTCAAAGTTATATTTTATGACAATTTCAAACTTGCATTTACTAGATTTGTAGTTCAAAATATTTGAGCCGCGTCAAGCAGAAATGCGCACTCTCGTCATTTTTTCCACATATTGATGATGTTCAGAAATTACAATCTCATCTTTGAGAAAATATATCAAAAGTTACAGGGTTAGAGTTATCTAGGGCCATCTTGGCCCTCTTGTTTTAAATATACATGTACACAAGTCATGGCAAAAACGTGCATTGTTGGGTTTTATTGATAGATTAAAAAAAAGAGAGAAATATCAACGTAGCTTACTCGATAATAAGTATTTTCATTATTTTTTCATTACCATACACACATTTATATAAGCAAATAGCCATCCATTAGTCAAAGGATAACTAGTTCGTTGACATTCGGTAAATTCCACCATCTTATTATATAACAAATATCAATTTATCAATCACCTGTGCAGGAGGCATGTGGAACCATTTCATTACCATAATCAAAGCATTGTGCAATGGTGAGACGTACACAAGTCATTGCAATGAATTCGAGATTACAAGTTATTAGGCTTAATTATAAAATAATCCTTTTTAATTTACTTACTATTGTTTTCCGCAAAGTTTACCTCAGAAAATGGCGGGCGCACATGTGTGTACATTCGGAATACTTCTATTTGATCCATACATAGACTTAGACTGTCAATAAGCAGTTAGCAGTAGGCAGTGAGCAGCTGGCTGTCCAGTTAGCAGTAGGCAGTGAGCAGTAGGCTGTCGTTTATGGAATTCCGTATAAAATAACAATTATATTTGCTATCACAAGCAGTTTATGGGTGCGCATGTACTTTCCATTTACGAAACAATATATAATGCTTATATAATGCTTATATAATATATTTTTTTGTATACCTGCTCCAGCCGGACATGTACATTGTAGTATACGTTTACCTGAGGTATCGATCAATCCATTAGTTTCATTCATATTGCATAACTGGTATAAGACAAATAATAAAAAAATCATTAAAGGGGCATAACTCTTAATAATATCATTTAACTGGAAAATGACGTGAATATGCACAAACGGATTTCGTACTGATCAGTCCTGTAAAGTTTGGATGAAATTGCACCAATAATTTGCGAGGGGTAGTCCGGACAAGCTTTGTGACAGACGGACAGAAGAAGTCCCTATAAGTCGCCGATACTCTGTACAGTATGTCGCCGCTACTCTGTAACTGGCGACATACGAAAAATGTGAAAATAGCACCCGCTTGTCAGTTAAAAGACAATTAAACTTTCATCGTGTACATAACCTTGGTCTTGTACCATCGTGTATATGACCTTGGTCTCGTACCATCGTGTCCATGACCTTAGTCTTGTCCCATCGTGTATTTGACCTTGGTCTTGTCCCATTTTGTACATGACCTTGGTCTCGTACCATCGTGTATTTGACCTTAGTCTCGTACCACCGTGTATATGACCTTGGTCTTGTACCATAGTGTACATGACCTTAGTCTTGTACCGCCGTGTATATGACCTTGGTCTTGTATCATAGTGTACATGACCTTGATCTCGTACCATCTTTTACATGACCTTGGTCTTGTACCATCGTATTCATGAATTTAATAGCGTACCATCGTGTACATGACCTTGATCTCGTACCATCGTGTATATGACCTTAGTATTGTACCATCGTGTACATGACCTTGATCTTGTACCTTAGTCTCGTACCACCGTGTATATGACCTTGGTCTTGTACCATCGTGTACATGACCTTGGTCTTGTACCATCGTGTATTTGATCCTGGTCTTGTACCATAGTGTACATGACCTTAGTCTTCTACCACCGTGTATATGACCTTGGTCTTGTACCATAGTGTACATAACCTTGATCTCGTACCATCGTTTACATGACCTTGGTCTGGTTCCATCGTATTCATGAATTTGATCTCGTACCATCGTTTACATGGCCTTGGTCTTGTACCATCGTGTACATGACCTTGGTCTCGTACCATCGTGTCCATGACCTTGGTCTTGTACCATCGTGTACATGACCCTGGTCTTGTACCATCGTGTACATGACCTTGGTCTTGTACCATCGTGTACATGACCTTGGTCTTGTTCCATCGTGTACATGACCTTGGTCTCGTACCATCGTGTACATGACCTTGGTCTTGTACCATCGTGTACATGACCCTGGTCTTGTACCATCGTGTACATGACCTTGGTCTTGTACCATCGTGTACATGGGCTTGGTCCCGTACCACCGTGTACATGACCTTGGTCTTGTACCATCGTGTACATGACCTTGGTCTCGTACCATCGTGTACATGACCTTGGTCTTGTACCATCGTGTACATGACCTTGGTCTTGTACCATCGTGTACATGACCTTGGTCTTGTAATATCGTGTATATGACCTTTGTCTCGTACTTTCGTGTACAGGACCATGGTGTTGTCCAATCGTGTACATGACCTTGGTCTTATACTATCGTGTATATGACCTTGGTCTCGAACCATCGTTTATATGACTTTGGTCTTGTACCATCGTGTACATGACCTTAATCTTGTACCATCGTGTACATGACTTTAGTCTTGTACCATCGTGTACATGACCTTGGTCTTGTACCATCGTGACCCGAGTAGGGCTCGAACCATTGATCTCTGGGTTGAGAGGCAGACACCTTAACCACTAGGCCACCGCTCCCCTAAACTCTCATGGATTGTCAGTAAAGTTGGCATATATTGGTTAGATATTCCTAAATTAAACAATATATTAAATCAAGCCAATACCACTGATATAAATACAAGTGAGCGAAATTCTCAAATTCTCTTAGACTATGCACATCGGTTTTGGCACGGGCTGCAATACACTTTTTGTACGGGCAAGACTTCCTGAGCATGCGTAATTGGTAAAACCACTAAGTTCAGTTTGAAACTATAAACAAAAATGTTTTTCTAACTATCAGAATTTTGCCTTTCCTTATAACTACTCTACCTCGCGACATAGCTACTCTTAGAGTTTTTATGACATAAAGTCTACCAAAGGTAATTGTCGCCGATTTCTGATAAGATTATGAAACTTGTTCTATTGTGTAACTTATTGTAAACTGAATGACATTGGAGTAAAATAAGTATTTACTTTTGAAAACATTTAATCGAAATTTTCATGTACGACGATCAATGCAACACAGTGTTCAGGGTACATTATATGAAGAAGTAGAGGAAACACGTGACCAGACTGGTACATGTACATAATATTATTCGTACAACATTGTCTTATTATTCTGCACGAGGACGATCCATGAAAAAGAGTTGTCGTTTGGACAAACACTCCGTCTGTAAGTGCAGCACAATTTATAAAAAGCTATTCTAAAGCGACCTTCAGTTTTTTAAAAGTTAAATATGTTATTTTTAGATAAATCGTTTATGGGAATCAGTAGTCTGACTTCATTCATTGGATTGTTTTATTTTTTTTATTTTATCAATACTAAATCATAAACATTTGAAAGATTAGACATTAAGGGCACATAATGCCTCAGAAACAAATCTTTAGATAGAGCAAACCTTTTTTTATAATCTTTAGATAATGGTTATACAGAATGTTAAATGCTTGTAATCGGACAAAAGTAGCGGTGAATGTGAAATAATTCGTCTTTTTAAAAGTAGCAAAATGTAAACAAAGTAATATTTTATAATAAATAAAAAGGACGGATACCCGGCGATGTCCTCCCTCTATATGTATAGCGGACAGTTCGTTTTCCCGATTTTCTATTTTTAGAAAAGAAAACGTCACTAGCGCGTTATAATAGCTCTCGGGACGCAGTTTTGAAAAAGGCTTAACAGTGGTAATACTATGATGCACTTTTTCAAGATAGAAATACTGAAATACCTAGTTTGAAACAACACAGAAACATACCAAAAATGCCTGGATTGTTGCTGGACTTTGACGCTTTGCATCTAGTCATCTTTGACCTTTAACCTTGCGTTACAAAAGCCTTTGCTAAAGAGACACATGCAAAACAATTATGTCTAGTTTTTTTTAATGACAGTCAAAGACCGGAATCGCAGTCGTGTTACAACTATGACCTTGACATTTTAAGCTTGGTACTAGATTTATTTCACGTGATATGTCATCATCACGTCCAACAAGTTTATGCAAAGCTATTTCAAAATCCTTGTTTGTAGTAAGGTCAAGGTCACTGCTAGGCTTGAAAGTTATTTCCTTAAAGTGTATTGTTGTCCGATCAAAAGTAATGTCATTTCGGTAACTGATAATTATCAAACAAAGTAAAATACAATTTTCATTTTAAAGAATGAAGTATTATGAGTTTGTTTATTGCATACCGTATTCGTTTGTTTATTGTCGCCATTAGTAAGCCCTAGTGGAAAATCAAGTGTTTGACTAGTAAGATATTTTTAACGTAGACACATGATTATTGGGGTTCTAATTAGAAATTTACGCTTAAAGGGATTGTTTGACACAGACCCGAAAAATAGTTTCTGGATTTTAATGTTTATTGTACAAGTGTATTATAAGAACTATCAACAAGTATCACATTGTCGGATACCCACGGTTGATTTACACGTAACATAAAATTTACTTAATGGCGGGGCCTGCTACAATGACGACTAGGAGAACTAGAAGAGAAATGTCAAACTCCGGGCCCCGGTTACGCTATGGCTAGTAACCACTGCCTTCACTCAAATCACGTGATGATGGCCTTATCACATGATTGTGTCAAGATGGCGGATACGCCAAAGAAATCGTTGAACAATTGTTTTAGACGTCCATTTTGTTATCATGTCAGTGATATTAAATTATTCGCTTTGATAGACTAAAGGCAAGCGGTGTACAGGTAAAACTGTTCAAATCTTGTAAATTGTATATATCGCCGTACAGGAACGGCGATAACTTGAGCTCAAATGATTGGAAAAAAATCATATTTGTAAGTGTAGAATCGAAATTATTCCCTGCGGACTGAGGCCCGAAAGGTGTTGGTACGCGAATAATTTTTGAGACATGGAGGAGCACGTGATCTGTTTTCGGCACATGGTAAAACACGTGATCTGTTTTCGGCACATGGTAAAACACATGATCTGTTTTCGGCACATGGTAAAACACGTGATCTGTTTTCGGCACATGGTAAAACACGTGATCTGTAATCCGTACATGATTGGTAAACTCAACACTATTTTCCGTTACGTTACGGATTTATAAAATTTTATGATAAATATTTCTTTAATATCTATAATTTTACAAATTATTTTTTTTTTAAATAAATTGTTTATACATGTATAGCATGTATATAGCAAATGAGGATGTTTTTGGAAACTGCAACAAGAGACAAAAAATAAACCGGTTTTGAGAAATAAAAATGATAGCATTTCTAGACATAAATGGGCCTTTAAACATTAGCTGTCGTATATATATATACATAAACATATACAAAAGAGAGTCCTCCTAGGCCGACATTATGCATGAAATGTTACACAGAGTACATGTATGCAGTTAATATTATATAAACAGTTATTATACGTAAGCTACAGGAAATTTTATTATGTAATGAAATTCAACGAACCCACCAGTTTTAACATCAATCCTTGCTAAAGCTAACCGGAAAACACAACAGAAAATAGATAACAGTACAGAACATGGTAATATGAATATGAATTTGTCATCGGTAGGCACCGCAATTCCCACGTAAACATAAAATTCCAAGGATGGTTGAAGGTTATCATTTGCATATACATGTATAGACATAAAAGGAAGAATGTAAACTCTTTCAAAGAATTCAAATAAATTTTGAATGCTCTTAAAAAACAATAAAAAAAACAACAACAAAAAACAACAAAACACAACACACACACACACGCATGCAACGCAACAAAATAATCATCAAAAATCACAAAAAACACACGCACGCACGCGCACGCACGCACACACACATACCCTGTCCTGCCCTACACAGCACATGCTATTTAGAGAAGATGAAATGTCTTCCCTTTTTTTAAATTCTATAAAATAAGTGCGGCATATCAAAAATTGTCTGCTTCAAATCTCAGGCTTAGCGAATTACTACGCAAGTGCAAAAACTAGCGAAGGCTTAATTTTTTACATACACGCATTTAAGTAATCTGCCCTTGAATAAGTATGGAGTTTCTTCCCGTTACATATGAAACCAGACTACCATTAACTTTGTTTTTAGGTATGTATAATCAAAGCATTTTTGTTGCACTTAAAGTGTTATACAAATGAAGAAAATTACAATTCTAATCTATTATTGAAAATACTTACGTATCTACCCATCCTATCCCTAATTTACATTATCGTACCGTACCGTACCCAACCGTTCCGTACCGGACGCGCCCCATTGAGACTTCAACATTATCATCTACCTGGTTTTGTTTCAAGACACGCATATGTTTTATATCGCTGTAGTGTTCAATAGTTTTAGGTCAACATCATTTACTATTTTAATTATCATTTTATCTTTCTCCCACTTGACAACAACATTCCTTCAAACAACCTATCTTTATTACTCTCTTTGGGAATCATCTATCTACGCAGTTTAAACAAATAAAATATTCAATGATTATTTGTTCCAATAAACATAATCCGCTTTCATTACCTGATAATATCTTAAGGTTAACATGTTTAGATTAAACAACACCAAATCATTATGTAAGAATAATGGTGAACAACAAGATTTAAGGATATGCCGTTTTTTCTATTGTTATTTTAAAAGTATAATGTAAAATTAATGTCAAATGTATATATAAAATAAACTTTTTTATACCCCAATAACTTAACAACCCGCTTAATGCTGACGCCAGAGTGACATCACATTAGTCTCGTGGTTACCGTATCTGTGAGATGAACAATTTTTAAATACTTTTTTGGACAAGATATTTTGTATAAAAGAAGCGCTTGTTTTTGGCCTTTTCAACAATTTCTCTACAAACATCTTATGATACGGATTTTTGTATTTCAAGTAAGTATTTTGTATATATGCGTCACATTTATACATTTTTTTACTTAACATCATTTCAGCTTTTATAGATTCTACATATCGATGTATACGCACAGAGGATATATATATCTCACAAATTTAGGAGTGAGGGTTTTCGAGAGCGAAAAGCACGAGTGAAAATATGAAAAATGTCATTTTAAGGCGAGATAAAGATCTAGGCTCTACATATTTTTTCTATTTAATATAAACACACGTATTTTCTTTTATCACCAAACCGTACCAGCCGTAAGGTCTTCCGAAATTTATTGGCACTAAATAACACTAACTTAAGTTATTTATGTGACGTCATCCGAAGATCTTTTTTTTTCTTTTGGAGCAGTTACAGATATAACTCCAGTGTAAATTCATAAAAACAGTGCTGAATTAAAATGAAATATCTAGGTCTCGCGCAAATTCGGAAAGCTTCGCTACTGCCGTAATCAGTTACCATAGAGCTGGATACATTTCTGTTAAATACTTATAAATGAAATATTGAGAAATATTAAT